GGACCAAAGGTTCAGTCCTATCTGCTGATAGTGGCTAATACCAGGTGCCCCAGAGGGAATGAACACAACAGGTAATCCTCATGTGATCCATTTTCGAACTGAGGATAAGGACACCATTCCTGCCCATCCTGGCTAATAGCCATTGATGGGCCTAACTTCCATGAATTTATCTAGCTCTTTTTTGAACCCTGTTAAAGTCCTGGCCTTTACCACGTCCTCTGGCAAGGAGTTCCACAGGTTGACTGTGTGCTGCCTGAAGAAAAACTTCCTTTTGTTTGTTTTAAACCTGCTACCTATTAATTTCATTTGGTAACCCCGTGTTCTTACATTATGGAAACAAGTAAATAACTTTCCCTTATTCACTTTTTCCATACCAGTTATGATGGCATTTTATAGACTTCTGTCATATCCCCCTCTTGGACTTTTCATCTTAGAAAAAAGGAGACTAAGTCTTTTTAATCTCTCTTTATATGGGATCCATTCCAAACCCCAGACATGCCACACACTGCCACAGCTTCAGGGTGATGGGGCTGCTATGGCCCCGAGGCTGTCAGGGAGCGACTGCTGAAATCCGTTATCCAAGGGCTGCTTCAGCTTCCCAGCTCCAGCAGTGCCAGGGCTTGGGGCATTGGAGCTGCCGCAGCAGCCAAGCCTCTGCTCCTTGGGTCCGCCAGGGCTTCTGCAGCTTCGCTACCCCAGGGCTGCCAGAGCTGCCATGGATCCACTGTTCTGGAGCCAGCAGGGCTCCACTCCTCGGGGTTGTGTGGGCTGCTGCAGCTCTGCTATCCCAGGGCTGCTGCAACCAGCCCTGTGGCCATGCAGCCCTCTGGTCCAGCGGCTCTCTGCTCCAGCAATATCCTGGACAAGAGAGGTTCAGTTTGTATCACAATTTTACCTCAACTAGGAGGTTTTCCTGCCTGTGTTTTATCCCAAGCCACATTCTACTCCCAGGGAACAAACTGCAGTTCCTTGATTTCTATAGGTCCTTGCTTTCTACATTGAGAGAAGTAAGTTGTTCAGTTATTCGTGGCAATTGCAGATAGCATGAAAGGCCAGCTGGTGTCTTCTTAACGTGTATCTCATCATGAATTATGTTCTATATCCGAGAGTGCTCTAGGCTAGCAAGTCTTCCTGCACCTCCTGTCACAGAACATTCTACTGGGGCACAGGCTTCTTCCACTTCCCTTCTGGCCCCAGTTCCCACTTATTAAATCTGTAGAGTGGCTATTTGGTCCTTCCTCTGGATCTTTGCTTTGCATTATGCAATTACTCAGCAAGCCAGGGATGATGCCTCATTTGGTCAAGTGGTTTTACAATCAATGGTTGGCTACAACCCCACTGCCTACCCTTCTGTTGTGAATCACCTAATTGGAATATACATGAATGAGCACTTGAAGAAATAAAAACAGTTGCGTATCTTCTTATAACTGTTGTTCAAAATATGTATTCTGATACCCACCCTCCTTCCCCTCTGTTGGAGTTGCCAGTAAGAAGGAACTGAGGAGAAGTGTGTGGGTAGGGGTCTTTATTGACTGCCATCAAAGCAGGACTCCAGGGGGTGCTCAGACCCACCCTGTGGGTACTGCTATGAGAATCTTTCAGCCGTCACGTGCACGCAGACACACCAGATTGGAATAGACATGAACAACTCATCTCCACGAACAACAGTTACGAGAAGGTATATAACAGTTGTTAGTTTTGAGGGAGGGGGCTTTTTAGCCTGAGGCCCTAGGTCACAGCCTCTAAAGCCCCTGCATTAATCTGGCCCTGGTTCCCCGTCTACGTTTTTTTGAGATGATGTCAGTATGGATTTTATGACCCTCCTCCATCCCCACTTCAGAGTCTCCATCTGACTTCAAAATGAGAGGGACCTGAGGAAGTGTCATGGCTTCTGTGTCCATTACGTTTTTGGGACATGCATGTTCAAAAATATCTGAGCTTGCACATGAGGTACAGGCACATCTACAGTAGGTTCCACACTGGCAACATTTAGAAGATCAATATTGCTGTAGAATAAGTAACTATGCTTTGCAGGGTGCGATAAGTAAAACTTTTTTCTCAATACTTTGAGAATAGAAAATGAGACGGTATTAATCTTGTGCTGTAGTGGGTAAAAGTTCCCCTTTTATTTAGAAATGGAATATATTGTACTGCAGCATGGAAATGTGCAAGTATCCTATGATTAGAGTGTAGACTTCATGGCAGCACAAATATAAACAGACACAGATTTATTAGTATGACTGAGTTCACTTATTTCCCTGTAGTTTTTGTTTAATATTGTCATCAAGTGACTAAGAGCAGAACTGTGGATGCATGTTTAATATTAAATCCTGTTAGGCGATAATTTAAACATGCCCTTGTGAGTGTGTGCACACGCTTTTGAGGAAAGTTCAAACTGAGTAAAGAACTTCTCAGATTGTTGCCAAATTGCATGGATACAATTAAAGACATTTAAAAATGCAAAAGATATACTCATTTAATTTCCTTGGGGCTGATTCAGGACTGTTCCCTCCATTACATTTTCTCGTGCTATATCTATTCTAGTTTTAGGTCTCCAGCAGTGGCACTTCCACCTGTTCGCTTGGGTGGGTCTAATAGCTTTTGCTGACAAGCATTTAATATTTACCCAACATTTCTTTTTCTTAATCATATTTCTCTGTGCCTTCCTTTACTTATCTCCATCCTGGGTGTTAACAGCTTTCAGGTAACTGTAAAATATTATGTCTCCGTCCCTTCTTTGCCAAGCTACATAAAGCTAGTCATCTTTCTTTATAAATCCACCCCGATCACTTCTGTTGGGTAGGAGTTGAATCTGCTTATGCATTTGAGTTAATGATATATTTGTCTGTGTCTGAGAGTCCCATATGTTCAAGAACACCACCTAAATGGCAAGAGCTAGAACCATCAAATTTGGTATGCAGCTGTTTCTTACCATAACTTAAAGCAAGATATGGGCTGGTTTCTTCCAAGACAATGGGATATGCATGGAATGTGATTTTTTTCTCATCAAACTGAAAGGGAGGGGTTTAATACAGGGATAGTTATATTACAGATTATCTGCAGGGGGGCAACAAGCACTGAGGACAGCTACACTCCAAAGACTGACCACAGGGGAACAATAAGGAAGCATGCCTCAGACAGCCCCGGAGAGCTGTAGAACAGCCACCAGCAGGGCAGCATGGCCCCCACAACCCCAGGCCGCTTCTGGGGAGCAATACCACCACTTGGTCAGTGTAGCCCCATGGAGGCCACTGGCTATCTCCACATCCTTCCCTCAGCCTTCCTACACCCCTAAACTCCTGCCTGGAAGGACCCGAGCAACATTGGATAAATCTTCTCGTTTCTCATTATTTCTAGTAAGGTGTTGTGCAGAACTGATTGCTGTAATCCAGTATGATTGCATTATAGCCATTTGGGAAGAGAGGCCTGTGTGACTAAAGCTTCTGAATAGACAGCACAAATTTTCCGGGACAGTCTTTGCTTGTAGTCTAAGTCTTCAGGTACTGTCTACACCGTGGTTGGTGAATTAAACTTACTCCAGTTTTGTACAACCTGCTTATTTCATTAATGTGCTGTCTACTTAGTCTTCCAGATCATTAATTAAAATGGTAAACTAGGGATATTAGATAGATAGGAGGTAATAGAATAGTTGAATAACCGCGTGAATTCTTAGTTGACTATTCTGTAGTCCCCGGGGGAGGGACCAGCACCCAATTCACTCTGGCCCCACTCCTGGGGTGTCTCCTGCCACCCCACGCTGCTGTCTCTGACCATGGGATGTGGAGCAGCCTCTGTTCATGGGGAGCTCGGACATACACACACCACCCCTGCAGATGGGCTGCTGCTGTGAAGCAGCCTATGCCCTCGGGAGTGTGTGTGTGTCTGAGGCTATTTCCCCACCCACCCCTCACGCTGCTGTCTCTGATAGAGGCAGCAGCATGGGTGGAGTAGGAGGCACGCAGCATTGTGGAGCCGGTGCTGGGGGGAGCTGGCTTTTAAGCTGGCTCCCTGCAGCACTGGACCTTCCTCCTCCTTCCCTCCCTCCTCACTGCCTCTGTAAGAGGGGAGGAAATGCGAGTAGTCAAGAAGGTTAATCATATAGTCAACTACTCGTTTACATCCCTGTGGTAAACACCACCATTGCTTGCTAGTATGTGCTTGGAAGTATTGTCAGTTAGAAGCCTACACAATCATAAATTTTCACAACATGAATAAAAGTGTCTTTTTGAACTCATTTCATCCATATAAATGACAATTGTAGGGCAGACAACTCCCAGATTATCCAGTCTCTTGTGTACATAACTAGCTTAAGAAATTCATGTCATGTCTTCATTAATTTTAAGCTTCTTTAAACAGAACAAAAGTTTGGCACCAATAATGACTTTCATTTTTTTAGAATGTGTGTTTAAGAGGGGGAAAAAGGTATGGAACATTAAACACTAAAGCAAAGACTGAAGTATTTTTGGCCAGGTGAAGAGCAATGTATTTTCAGGCTTTTAGATTTGTTTTTAATCTGAAGTGTTTTCTACCTCTATGTAGCAATTTTTTAAAAAATTTCCTGAACAGAGTTAGAAATACGTATTGTGTATAGCTCCTATTTAAGGCATCTGTTGAATCCAAGTTCCCCCTTGTAGCTCTCATTCTAGATCTTGGCCTTCCATTATAAGATGCACAGAATGTTAGTAGTAAATGTTTGGGGATAACCCATGGCACCAGTAATCACACAGATTGGAAAAGAAATCACATTTTGAAACTTGATTCCTTCTCCTTCTTGCCCACTAAATGCTAGAATTATCTTCTTAATAAACAAAGGTTCCAGAGAGAATAGTAGACACACATTTGCAACAAAGTCCAGTTTCTCTTCTTAGGTGATCATAACTGCAAGATTTTCCCAATTTTAGTCGTTCTGCTGCTGAGTAACTTTGCAGAAGAGTCAGCATAAATGGATCAACAAATACTAAACTCTCTCTGATGTTGTCTCTAATTTTCCCTTGTTCCAGGATGCCAGAAAAGCATGTGCAGATGCCACTCTGGCCCAGGTAAGATGCTCACATTTTAATTGCAAAAATATACATATAAGGAAAATTATGAACAATATCTTAATTCTTCCTGTAGTCTTTTCTTGGAAACATCAGCTTTCTTTGCCTCTTTTCATGGTGTGATTTTTTTTTTTTTTTTTTTTTTTTTTGATTACACACAGATCCTACTGCTTATGCATGGCCAACTACTGCCAGTAATAGGATCAAGTAGTACTTTCTTTGGTAGGTCACTGAGTTCCTTTCCCTGTTTTTTGGGGTTTTTTTACAAGTTTTAAACAGATGGGTCTATAATTTGGAGGCCCCTCACACAGGAGCAACCTGGATGACCATTTATACAGAAGCCTTTTCCAGGCGCTATTGCTCTAAATGTGTTTTGAATCAGATTTTACCTTTCACCATCCAGTTTAATTCCTTTTGCTTGAACCAAGAGCGGTAGTCCTGTGTCTAATATGAGTTTGTTGCCATGGAAGTGAGTAATGCCATAAATACAGTACTACAACTTCAGCATTGCAGCATCAAACAAGAGAGGCAGTGAGCAAGAGGCCTATTTTGAGTATAAAATTGGGAACTTTTTATGTGGCAAAGAAAGTTGCCCATAAATGTAAAATAAATGGGCCTAGTGTAACATGTAATATATCTAAAACATTTCCCATGTGCACAAGTCTGTAAAAAGCTACTCTATTTTATACTAGGGAAGGGCATTGTGTAGGAATTTTAAACCTAGCCCAGTCTTTTAGTTTTAACATTAATCTGTTTTTTTCAAATCAAACTGAGTTCTTTACTGAAATGCTTTTTTGCGTAAATATTTTTTTAGGTGGAGATAGGACAAGTACGCAGACATTATCTGTAAAATGGAGTTATAAACTGTTTTGGATTCACTGTAATGTGTGTTCATTTATTCAGTATATAACTGGAAATGTGCTGAGAGCTATTTTGTTACCCAGTGCTTTGCTCTGGGCCAGAGAAACTATTTATATTAAATAGTATAATGACAGTGTATTGATTCCTTCCTCACTTTGCTATTTATTCATTCCAGAATATACTTTTATTCTTTAAACACTAGATACAATATTAATATAATTTAAAAATCTTCTGTTCAAAAGGCATTTTATGCTGGGTCTAAATCAAGAGTTGTTGGTTTTCAAAATGTTAGGGGCAATTAAAGCCCCAACTACAAACACCCATCTTTCCACCATCTTTAAAAACAGAAAGGTGTGTTATTCTGTTAAATGCATCTCTTTTGTGGAAGACCGGGAACCCCTCTAATATTGTACAAGACTTAGAGCTAAAAGCTTCAGAAGATAGAAACTGAACATAATCCTGCCTGGCGTTCTGAGCATTTCTAGTTGTTTCCCACTAGACCTGGATAACATGCATGTTCTTTAAGAGGATTATTGTGCAATTATATTTAGCTAAAACTTTGCCTACAATGCTCAGGTAAACAGTTGGGTCTGGAGGAGAAATAGTAAATGAGAAAATAACCAAGGAAATACTGCTTAAGACTAAGATATTTCTTAGTCAGTGTGGTTGTCTGAGTCCGTGAACATGTTCAAAATGTGTACATTGAATTCTTTGGTTTTTCTGCAATAGACTTAAATGCTTCTGCATTAATGAAGAATATGTATATTATGAGAATAAGATAAAATGCAGAATCTTAAGGTCTATAATAACTTGTCTATTTAGATCACAGCCAACATTGATCCAGTGGGTCGAATTCAGATGCGTACTAGAAGAACACTGAGGGGGCACTTGGCTAAAATTTATGCGATGCATTGGGGGACTGATTCCAGGTGAGTGTCACTGGCATGCAAGGGCAGTCTTTTGGGTTTCATTTAAAGGCTTATGCAAAAGTTAAATTTGGCTTTTAATATAGGATGATTACACATTCAGTTGCATCATTTCCGGTCATGCCTATGATCCAGATGAAGTCCTTTCTGCTAGTTGTGTGGAATTTTAAAATATCAGAGCTCTTTTTGAAGATCAGGGGATCTTGGATGCAGGTGGGGATAGTTACATCATTTGAAGTTTTATAACCTTTTCTTCTATTCTGTGACTAAGAGAAATGAGAACCACTAAATGTCACTTTTTTCCTTTTAACCTCTGTATTTTTGGCATAATAATCTAAATGCAGTACCAAATTATCAATCCCTTCTTGCCGGAAAAATAGTTTTCAGTAATTTAGAGGAAACATTTTAAAATAGACACTTTTTTAAGTCCTTCTGTGATACCCAGATAACATCTATTTTTTAACTAACAGTATCCCTGAGATGATAAATGACAACTATTATCTGCATTTTTATAAGAATCATAGAATACATGCATTAGTGAATTGTCTATCCTTAAATAAATAGATATGGCATTCCCTTCTGATAGGAATAGGTGAATTAGTTTCTTTTTAATCTTGTAAATATGTGAACTAATCTGCTCATAACTACATGTCTAATCAACAATTTACTGATGGGAGCTTTGTTAATCTAATGAAGGTGATCTTGTTAATTCAGTCTAGAGCTTGTTTAGACATGATTGATAAGCCGTACTGTTTTTAAGTGACTTAAAATCTAGGTCTGTTCAGTGGAATCTGAGACTTTGAAACACTTTGAGAATGGAGATTGTTCATAATTCTGAACAAAGCATTATGGTTCTTCTTTCAAAAGTTTTCAACTAGACATCTACTTAATTCAGCTTTGAAAATTTATTATGCAGAAGAAAAATGCTGCTTTTAACCATCTTAATTTAAATTAAGTAGCAAAGTTCTTAGTGTAGTAGAGGAAAATATTTTTCAAAGAATAGTACTTTTCACTTTCAGTTTCTGAATTGCTCACGATTGGCAGAGCATCAAATAAACACAGTGTAACAGTTTCATTTGATGTTTCATATATTTTTGTAGACTCTTACTTCATATATTTTGTAGAATCTCACTTTATTTCATAGGAGTACTGTATTAGTTTGTTATAAGCATGTAGTTTCCAGTATTGAAAACTGCGCTTTATTTAGCAAATTACCATTGCCAACTTTGTAATATTTAAAAACTGGACACTCCAGCCAGGAGTACTGGAACTTCTCCTACTGGGATCAGGAGAGAGACTCCTGTGGAATCAGGGCTGGGAGTTAGTCTTCTGCTGATGGTAGGAGGCAGCCCAATCTGCATAGGAGTTGGCATAGGTGATGATCTGGTGCTTTTCCCACCTGTACTAACTGGACTTTCCAGTTGAAAATTGGACAAGTGGTCATCTTATGGCTAATATTTGTTTTAGAAAATAAACATTAAGCGGCATGCAGGCTAGAGCAAGAGGCCCATGTCACATTGCTATGGCGTTGGATGACTACATTTCATGCGTATGGCAAGTTGGCTTTGAAATGAGACCGCTTTAAAAAGTAAGGAAATCATGCTGAAAATTGCAGTATTTTTAGCAATAGGATTGTATTATACAACTAGAACAAAGCCAGCCAGAGGAATCGCCAAATTAATTCTGATGTGACGATGAAGATCATAGACACATACATTTTGTTTGTATTTTTACCTAACAGTCTTTCAAAAAGTAAAGGAAGTCGGATAAATACTTTTTGTAACTTTTCTAAAAACAATTTTAAAAACCCTTTCTTTTTCAAATATATTATAAAACAACTTAAGAAATCTGTGAGCAAGTCTTGATATACATATTCAGGTTGAAGTGCTCTCACATACAAACATAATAGCGTCAGCACTCTTTAGGTATGTCGCCTTAAAGCTACCTGTCTACAATCGCTTCATCTTTATAGTGTACCTCCATAATGATAGTTTGGCAGAGGTAGGTTGTTTAGCACTTTCACTGTCAGTTTAAACCCAGTGCATTTTAGTTCCACATTTTATGACACTAAATTCATTCACCTTTCTGAAAAGAGTACTTGACTTTTCACAGTCTCCATCCCACTGCATTTTCTCCCTTTCCAATCACTCTGTTTATACAATTTTTCAGGAAATACCTCTGACTTAGCATATTTAGAAAATCATGTAAGAATTGAACACCACAAATCACAATTCTTAAAATGTAAGATCCAGGCAAATCTGTTTTCGCTAAAGGTAGTTTAGGCATGATGCATCCCCCAAAATGTGAAACAACTTTATCCTTTTCCCAGGAGGTTCCTATACCACTAACGATAAAGACGAGCGTCAAGAGATTACTATGCACTAGGAATGTTTTGCTGATTATTCTATTACTAGAAGGGACATAATGAAGTTGAAAATCATTTTTTGTCTGCTAATTGTATTGCCATAAATGAATTTAGATAAATAAAATTGAAAGATTAGGGAACGGGATCTCTTTTCTTCTGTTAGTTTTAGTTTGAAGACATATCTGGCCACAGCGTCGTAACACTCCCGCACCCCCATACAGCCTAACCTTGTGCCCTAAACTCAACCCCCTTGCCCTGTCTGAGCATTTCATACACCCCAACTCAGACTCCTGCACCCCCACATCCCCAACCCCCTGCCATAAGATTGACAGAAGACAAACTGAATGTATGCATAAAGCTGGATTTGAGCAGTTATGATGTAAACTTCAAAGAAATATGTGAAAAGATGCAGAAGCAGAAGTCCCATTAAATAAAGGCTGTGATACAATATTTCATGTATGCTATTATTCGTCCTCATGTCAATTATCAATAATATTAAGTTGTATATTTTTAGTTATGCAAATGGGCATTCTTATATGGCTCTTCGTTGCTTTGTTCTAAATTTTGATGTAGTTTGGCTCTTTGAAAAGATTGCTGACCCCTGGGCACATGTTGTAGTAACACTTAAAAAACCCCTATTAAGGATAAGGCACTATGGACACACACAAATATGAACTTAGTCCTTACTCCAAAGTTTGTAATTTTACTGCTAAAGTAGCTCTTGTATTGACCCTGTAATCTGAAAAATAGAGGAGTCAGATTTGAGAACAGCAGATCTAATAAAAACCTCAGAGCAGTGTGTATGGCCAGATGATTTATCAGAGCCAGGCCCTGGATTTTAAATGAATATATCTTTAAAAGGAGAGACCTAGCTTGAGATACGGATCCGTTTTACAACTTTGTTTTAAAACAAACATTAAACATCAAACTTTTCATAAAGGCCATTTAGGATTGTAACAGCTTTAAAAGTTAGCAAAACAACCAGTGATTTTGTTACATTAGTGAATAGTATCATGTAATACTTGTGTGTTGAGACTTGGATTTCTAAATCAAGCTATACCCAGTGAGGTTTCAATATACAGATATTAAGATGAAAATTGAAATGATGTGGTGCTTTGGCACAGTAATCTGAACGTTGTAAGATGAGTAGCCAAACATCGTCTCAATAATATGTTGGAAAGGAAATGTGTGGAGTCAGGACTCAGAGCATGAAATATTACATATCGGAATTCCATTTGTATCGGCTTCCCTAATACAGAAACGGGTATACTCAGCTCTTTTTGTCTGATCCTTCCTGCAACCTGAATTTTTTGGTTGTGGGGTTAGAAAACCTATTTTAAAAAAAAACTGGGTACAAAAGTTCATCTTTTAAGTTAGACCAAGAATACCACTGTGGCAAAATTGTGCATTTTAGTCAGTCTCCATTGAGAGGAGATTTTTTTTCCCCCAAAGGAAACAAAAGAAAACCACCCTTCCTTCCCTGCACTCTGTGCTTTAACTCCCAGTATTTCTCTGTAAAGTAAATTTTCTGTTGGCCTCAGTTTTAACTCTACTCTGGTACTGGTTTCTATTTATCATCAAGTATTTATTGGTTTATATCCCGAAGCAATCTTTTTTTACCTTGTGTTAAAATAAGTAGAAATTGGGAAGATGACCTTCTATTAGTGGTCCAAATAATTATCTCTGGGTGCATTATTTTAGTGTGCCTATCACTGATTTCTCATGTTTCAGATACATGAAACAAGCAACATTAGTGCGGTTGAGGGATCACTTTAACTATTTCTTCTTCATCCTATTGTGCATCTCTGGCTCGTCTTTTGGGAAGGGTGGGATGAAGAATTCACAGGTCCTTTATCCAGATCCTTTTTAAGAAAGGAAGGTCTGCAGAAGACAATGCAAAGGAGGTGGAAACAAGATGATTTTTTTAGAAAACCCATCGATTTTTAATAGTTCACCAGATTAGCCTGCTTTCCAGTCCAGAAATAAAAGTAGGTGTTTGCTAATAACCCTGTGCATTTTCACCACTTCCACCCTCAGAATCTTTTGACAGTCAGAGAAGAATGAGCATCTTGCTATCTTTTGGGAAAGAGAGATCTTTTAAAAAATGGCGCATCAATCTTACAAATGTGGGGAAAGAAAGGCATAGAGCAGTAGGTGACTTTCCCAACAGTTAGTGGTGATCAGGCATGGAACCCAGATATCCTGACTTCCTATTCTGTGATTTAATCATGAAAGATAGCAACAACTATTGAGTTGCTTTAACTGCTATGTAGGATCACATTGCTCTTTCATAAACAATAATATTTAACATTTCACATGAAGTGCATCTGCTTTTATTTCTGTGTACTATATTATTTAAGAATATTGATATTACATTGCATTTTATATAGTATATCTTAAACCATTCATGTAAACATCTTGAGTAATTGGCTTTGTCCTCTTGTTTTCCTCCAGTGATTTTCTGTTTTTCTTATTTTTCTCTCCAGGCTTCTAGTTAGTGCCTCCCAGGATGGCAAACTTATCATCTGGGATAGCTACACCACAAACAAGGTGAGAGTAATTGACCTGCTGTTGCTTAATTAAAATTTGACTGAAAATACTGAAAAGGAATATTATTTATCTATCTTGGCTCTTAAAGGGATACTGCCAAAACTTAGTAAGACCTAATGCTTGACATCTAAAATTATCTTAAACAATGTGGTTGGAGACTTAACTAGTGTGTGTATATATAGCATACATATACATTGATTATATATCAAATATGCTTACACAGCCTTTGAAAAACTAACTATTTAATTGTTGAGAGAATATATTTTTGCTTCAGTGCTGCAGGAGCAGCTGTCATCAGATGGAGTAGAAGTTAATTAGCAAATGTTTCCCAGAAATGTGCTAAGTGAGACAAAGCATAGCCATACTAGTTTGGACTCTGTAATAAAGCAGAGAATTACAAGAATGCAGGTATGAGACTATTCTCTTTCTGGCTGTAGTAACAGGACATGGATAAGGGTTACAGAAGGCTTTTGCTCATGTGGTTGTGGTTGGTGTAATGGATCCTGTAATAAATTTCCGTGAAGGGTGAAAAAGAAATGCTTGTAAATTATTACAAAACTGGTTGGAGGGCCCTTAAATAATCTCAGCAGGTAAATGGCAGTTAAGTAAGCGGAAGCATTTTTTTTTAATTGAAAAAGATGCAGAAAAGGGGAATAAAATACTTTTTATGTAGCAATTTCCATATTAGGGTTTCAAAGCTCTTGGAAATGTGAATTAATACTCAGCATCCTGTGTAGGTAGGGACTTGCATCCCTATTTTAGAACTGGGAAAAACTGAATCACAGAGATGTTGATACTTCATTAAGTTCACACTGAAGTCTTTGGTAGAGTCAGAAATAGAATTCTTTATTAAATACTCTAGTTGCAAGTACAATATCCCTTTGAAACAAGATTCACTCAGTGAAAGGAAAGTATTAGGGCAAACATGGTAATTTCAATTCGCAAAAACAAGGATTCCTGTGCCACCTTAAAGACTAACAGCATAAGCTTTTGTGAGCAAAAATCCAATTAGTCAGATTCAGTATCAGATGAAGTGAGGTTTTGCCCGTTCAAGCTTATGCCCAAATAAATATTTTAGCCTTTAAAGGTACCACAAGAATCTTTTTTTTTTTTTTCTTCAGTGAAAGAGACTTCAAACCAATTTTAGGACATCTTATTACTAGAAAGTATTTGTGTAATAGTTGAGTAGATTACACCTGAAAACAGTTTGCCTACAGCTGAAAGCAGGTTGTCTAAAAATATTTTAATGTCATATTGTGACTAAGCCAGGTGTGGGCAATAGTTTTTGTTGGGGGGGCCACTCTAAGAATCTGGAAGGTGCTCAAGGGCCACACTCTTCCATTTTAACGGATGAGGTAGGGGGTTTAGGAGGGAGTTGGGATGCAGGAGGCAGTTGTAACCTGGGTTAGGGAACTAGGGTGAAGGAAAAGGTGGAGGGGTTTTGGTTGTGACTTGTGGCAGGGGATTGAGGTGCAGGATCTGGGAGGGGATATGGATGCCGGAGGAGGGGCAGAGGGTTTGGGTTATGTTAGGGTAGGGTTGCGGGGCGGCAAAGGGTTTGAGTTGTGACCTAGGACTGGAGGGGGCTGTAACTTGGGGCAGGGAATTGAGATGCGAGATGGGGATGTAAGCAACTAGTCAACTACTGACCTGACTAGTTGCTCCCCCTCTCTCCCCACTGCCTTTATCAGAAAGAGGCAGCAGGGCAGGGGAGCTGGAGCCAGTGCTAGGAGGAGCCAGATTAAAAGATGGCTTCCCCCCCCCCCTGACCTAGGACTGGAGGGGGCTGTAACTTGGGGCAGGGAATTGAGATGCGAGATGGGGATGTAAGCAACTAGTCAACTACTGACCTGACTAGTTGCTCCCCCTCTCTCCCCACTGCCTTTATCAGAAAGAGGCAGCAGGGCAGGGGAGCTGGAGCCAGTGCTAGGAGGAGCCAGATTAAAAGATGGCTTCCCCCCCCCCCCAGCACATT